CTCTCTCTCTCTCTCTCTCTCTCTCACACACACACACACACACACACACACACACACACAGAAATTAACCTACTATAAAAAGACACAAAACAAAGAAATCACCCTTGAAGTGGCAAGGTCTGTACCCAGTATTGGAACGGAAACAAAGCTAGGCTAACAAAACTGCTCTGATGGTAGAGATTTAGGCTGAACATCCCTCACTGGAGTTTCATTGACGCTGCATGGGACCTATTAAAAATAATTAACAATTCAGAGTAAAAGGGAGGATGCACGTTAGTCTTCATATTTCAGCACCATGGACAGTTTCTCCCTCAGTTTAGCCAAAGAACTGGCTCTTGACTCTTTTGGTTCTAGGATCAGGGAATCTAACATTAATACAAACAGAGGCCCTGTCTACACAGCCTTCCAGTGTGAGCAGCAGGAGAAATGCAGATGTGGGCTTCCCAGTTGTATCCTCTGCAACCATCATTCAAGACAGCACAAGAGTAGAAAGTCCTGCTGCACAAACTTCTTTACACGAATAGAATGGGGCGAGGCCAAGGAAGGACTTGAAAGCAAGTGCCAGGCACACTGCAGGAGCAGCATCATGAAAAGAGAAGCTTCACACAACAGTATGCCTTGCCTAGAATAAAGAAATTATGGGCTAAGCAAAGCCAGTGAAAACGTGTTTCACTCTCACATGGAACCCAAAGTTACATCATAGCCTCTGAAGCAGCTGGGAATAAAACATTGAACCCTTCTTTCCTCTCATCATCCTCTTTATTCCACAAGGGGGGAAAATGTCAGAATTACAAAATTTGTACTGTCAGAATTTAAACACTTGGGGGGAGGGGGTGAAGAGGGAGGGGAAGAAAAGACATGGCCTTTGCTGGTTTAATTCCAAAATTGCTCAAACAGCCACTAAAAACAAGTGAGGGAAAACATTCAAAAAAATAAAAAAGTATAACCACAATTCTCTTGACTTCATAAAAAAAATTCTTTTCTGCCTTCCAACTTCTGGCCTTTGGACTGTTTCTTGGCCACTTTTCTGTGTAGATTTGAGTTTTTTCCCTCCTATTTCATCCATTCTTCTGGTACTAATGTGTCCTGAAAGGAAAGAGAAATCCAAACAAAATTAACATTTTCAATGCAAGGTTGAAATTCCTTGCTCATTAAGTGTCCCGTGCTCTTTTGAAGGAAGACACAGGATTTCTTTTTACATGGCAAAGATGTAATAAACCGTATCATAACATAACAAGGGGGGGCAAACAGAAGGAGCAGTGAAATGTCCAGAAAACGCAAAGGTGGATTTCTGGCAAATGGCAGAGGTGACCAGCCTTGCAAAACAAAAACTGAATTAAAAAATGGTGGCTGAGTGCAAAGCTTTCAACGGGCTTAGTCTAATTCTTAAACTTACCAAGAAACTGCTGGTTTATGCAATTAGAATGAGTGGGTTTGGATCTTTGGGCTGGTTTACACTGGGGGGGGGGGGGAAATCACTCTAAGATACGCAACTTCAGCTACGAGAATAGCATAGCTGAAGTCGATGTATCTTGGATCGATTTACCTTGGGTCCTCATAGCGCGGGATCGACGGCCGCGGCTCCCCTGTCGACTCCGCTTCGGAACTCCACCAGAGCGAGAGGCGGGAGTCGGCGGGGAGCACGTTCGGGGATAGATTTATTGCGTCTAGACGAGACACGATAAATCGATCCCCGATAGATCGATTAATACCCGCTGATCCGGCGGGTAGTGAAGATGTACCCTTAAAAGGAAGACTTAAAATGTCTTCTCCAAATTAAAACCTGAGCCAAGAGAAATCTAACACATACATGACAAACCCACGTCCTGGGAAGGGACAAGACACCTGCAGGATCCACTGACTTCAATTAGAGCCATGGATGCTCAGCACTCTTGAGTCAGGCCCCAACACTCTGCAGAGTTCAGAGCGTGCACGTACACTGAACTCTGTTACAGGAAAGTGCAAACTGATGCATTCTTGGAGTATCAGAGCAACCCTGGCTGTGGTTTTGAGGGGCTGGCAAAGACAACTGCCTGCAGCTGACAGCATTTAGCTCTGGCTAAGGGAGAAGTGTTCAAGGGACACACAATGCCATTCCTTACCTACTCCACACTGGGGCACCGAGAATTTAATGTTACGAACATTCATCAGCCAAAGCAAAGTGACACTAAGCTCACATATGGATATCAAGCCAATTCCTCTCTAGTTATGTCAGCTTTTTCGTGTGTGCAGTCCAAGTTTCAAAAGCACCCGCGAGGGAGTTGAGAGGTGGTGATAGGGGTGTCTTGAAAGGGTCTGAAAAGGGACATGAGGCCAAATCTTCAATGTTGTGGACAGTAAATGTACTCATGCACATGTAACACAAAGCATACTGGATACAGATTGGGCAATTACAAATGTAAACAGGAATTTGTACTCACAAGTAACAGTGCTATGTTTTAAGGATACGGTTCCTGTGCCTGTACTTTTGTACATAAAATTTAGTCCCCCTTTGAAAATTTGAATCCTTGGGTCCTAGTTATGTGTGCCTAGAGCACTGGGTAGGTACAATTGTATATACTTCAAAACAATCAAATAGAAGCTTGAGAGATCTTTCATCAGTGTATTCTGCAATGGTTTCAATTCCATCAGATGAATGGTATTACAGTCTGATTCTCTCTCTCAACCCTGAAAGAGTGCAGAGTGTGGGAGAAATGAAGGATATCACACATGCACAGAAACAAGAGACATGCAGAAAGACAGGCAGCATGCTGGGCAGTCTGACCCCCACAGGACTATTGCATGGTAAATGGGAACCTTCCCCATTCCAAATTAACAGCAGAAATGAAGGGCTTTATTATTGGGAAAGTGATGTGGGGGAGATCTGAAAATGATTTCATTTTCGGAAGGGACTGACCGCTGATGCAGGAAGCCAGGAAGGGATTTTCTTCCCATAGTGTTCTGGGAGTTTATTTATTTATTTTTTTTTAAATGCATCTCCTTCCTCTGAAGCATCAAGGGCCACATGGCTGAAGAGGGGACATCAGACATGGGGGCCAGGGCTTTGAGCTGGCATGGAGCATTCTCTCTCGAGGTGCCTGCCTGCCTGCCTGGTTGGTTTTGGCTCACATGCTCCAGGTCTAACTGCTTGCCGTGTGGGGTCAGGAAGGAATTTGGGTTTCTTTTCCACCTTTCTCTGCAGCATGGAGGGCAAGTCACTTGCAAGATTATCTGACTATATCTTAATTAATTATTTCCCTGCCACTACATAGGCCATGAGCACTGGTGGTCCTTGGTCCTGCCTGTGGCACATAACAGTCTAGTCT